CAGAATGGAACCCACCTTGTCCGCACCTTGATTTTGGACTTCTGGCCTCCATAACCATGAGAAATAGATTTATCTCGTTTAAGTCACCTCAGTCTGTGGAACTGTTATGCCAACCCAAGCAGACCAAGCCAAAACCACAAAGAACCTGTAGAGCTCTTCCACCATCTCATCTCAAACCCCAAAAGAGTGCAATGACTCTCTTTTCTACCCTTGTACATTTCCCTCTGAACACTCTCACTTATTTAAAAATGTCCACTTCCATTGCCACATAAAATCTCCACAAATATTAACTCCTGTAAGCAGTTAATTCTTAGCTGATTCTTAGCCCTGTTTCAGAGATGAGAAACTGAGACACAGAGTTCAATAAACTGAGCAAGCTATCAAACTAGCAGGTGTCAGAGCTGGGATTTGAACCCGGGCAGTCTGACCCCAGGACTGACCAGCCCTCAATCTTGCTGACCCTCCCACACTCCCTTGCTGTTCACCCCACTGAGAACTGCACAGCTATCTTGATCACCCCAATGACGATTCCCTTCCACTCTTTGTTCTCCTGCCTCGTCTAGGAATCATTTATTCAAGATTTTTCCTCCATGAAATAACTTACTCTCATCTGCCAAAGAGCGTACATAACTCATTTTGTGCCGGCAGCTGACTTACACCCGAGCAGCAAAAACAGAATGAATGATAGGAAACGGACTGTCAGCGGGAGACGGCCCGCGTTCCATCAGAGAAAAGGTGGAGCTCTAAGTTCCCATCATTTATAGATCCAATAAAATGATGGTTTTTAAATTAAAAGGCAATATCAACAACAGAATCCCGTGAGATTTGAGAAGACACAGGCTGTCAGGGCCACTCTCAGTCACACTGAGCAACCACCAAAGACCAGGGCCACCCCGAGCCTTGAGTTTTCTCTTTGTTCAGCTTCCGATCATGAAATCCGACCAGGAAGACCCAGGGTTTGAATCCAGGGGACGCCCAGTGGAGCCAGAGGACGCCATCACCCTACCTGCCGACGTGTGCTTGAACTTCTCGCTCTTCTTCTTCCTCCACTTCCAGGGCTTGAAGATCCTGCCCAGGTTGGCAAACTTACTCCTCCTCCGGATGGGTGGGGTGTGGGTACCTGGGACCAGGGAGTCGGAACGCATCGCCGCCAGCCTCTCCACCTCCTCAGCTTGTTTTTCCCAAGGAAGAGATGGAAACACAGAGGGGAGAGAGAAAAAAGTGTTAAAATGGGAGCCTCACAGATGGCCAGCGTTTTCCATGGTTACAGATAACAGGAACCACGTGGCTCCCGCTCCGTTTGCCTTTTGGAATGGAAGTCATACCACTGTGTTCTAACAGCTGGGGACAGTCAGCCAAAGCCGAGAGTCGCAGAGCCTGCCGACCAGATCCATCCATCCATCCATCCATCCATCCATCCGTGCATGCACCCATTCATTCCTAAGTAAGGGATGGGGGTCTCGCTATGTTACACAGGCTGGCCTGGCCTCCTTGAGCCTCCTGCCTCAGCCTCCAAAGCAACTGGGATGAGAGGGTGTGTCACTGCACCTGCTCCCCCAACCAGATCCGCCCAACCTCACTTAGGGGGAGGGGGAGGAGGAGGGGGACCTGTAAGAGACCCCACCTAAAAGGCAAGGAAAGACCATCCCAAGAGTCAAATGAGGTCAGCAATTTCTCAGCTTAGACTTGGCAGATGCGATCATATAACCTTGGTGAGAAGAAAGGAGACTGTTTTATCAAGGGTCTGTCCCCATGCTGACATCTCCGCCACACACGGCTCTCCACTTCCCTCCCGCCTGCTCTACCAAGGCCCCGAGGAGCACTGAATTCTGTACAGCACACTTACTATCTATCTTAAGGGCACTGACCAACTTTAGAATCATGCACACTTCCATCAGATTTTACAACTTCCTCTTAGGTCTTTTTTTTTTTTTCCCTGTAGATGTGCTTTCAAAAATCTTCTAAGAAATCGAGAGCTGGGAGTATTTGGAGGGAGCATCTAGACTGTTCTCAATGACACAGCATTTGCAGAGTGCAGGATCTGGATTGTCCCCCAAAGAACCATGTGTGAAAGGCTTGGTCCATAACCTGTTGCACTACTGGGAGGTGGTAGACCCTTTAAGAGGTGGGACCTAATGAAAGGTCCTAGGTCACTGGGGGTGTGGCCTAGTCTCCTCTGTTCCTTTTGCTTCCCTCCCAGGAGGCAAACAGTTTACTCCACCATGCACTCCCCACCAGAAGGTGCTGCTTCACTACCAACCCAAAGCAATGGGCCCAATCAGTCACGGAAACTTCCCAAACACCTAGCCAAAAGAAACCTTTCTTATTTATAAGTTGAATATCTCTGGTATTTTGTTACAGGAACAGAAAGCTAACACAGGATGTTTCAGACTTTCAGTTTTTCTTAAGGAAACACTGTGGACACTTTCTTGAAGGCCACTATCGGCCCAACACTTCTTGCAACATAAAATAAAACAAAGTCTTTCATGAGTATTTGCATCTTCCAGTGAGCTAAATGTACCCTGACTTGAATTTCTAAGGCAAGACTAATCAGAGAAAATAACTTCCTTGGCAAAATCAAGGGGGTGGAAAGAACTCAACTTTCCAGAAAGCAAAATTACATCTAAAGCTGTGGCAAATTCAAAAACCACCGTGTTTGGCCTCAGATCCTGTCCTTCAGAAAAATCTGGACTTTTGCAACATTTGCAGTCTGTGAAAGCTCAATCTGTGGCCCCTGTTATTACACAAAAAAATGCTTTTAACTTGGGAGATTCCTTCATCCTACCAATCTATCTGGAACGGTGACCACGTGCCAGGCAGCCTGTGGTGGCAGTTGTGTTGGTGACAGATGGTGACAGGTTGACAAAGGCTCTTGACAGTAGGTTTGAGAGGAAGTAGAAGGACTTGGAGGAGGGGCAGAAGCAAAGTCCATGCATGTGACTTAGGACCCAGTGACCTGCAGGACAGGAAGCAGATCACTCCTGGTTGCCAGGTGCACATCAGTGGCACGGCCCCCTTCATCCTGAGACGAGGAACACCGGAGGGGGCACAGGCTGGGGGTTGAGCTCGGCGATGATCTGGGCAGATGCGAGGACGATGACAATGACTGCAGACGTTCCTGACCTCGGATGGCAAACGCACTGTGAATTCAGACACCCTGAGCTGAAACCCCACGGACTCCACCCAACCTGCTGAGCATCCTGGGCATCAGTACAGCACCCTGCAGGGCACGGGTGGTTCCCCCCGGGGAAAGTGGGGCCATGGGAGCCGGGGTCGCTGCAGCTGCCCAGCATCTGGAGGGAGGATCTGGTCACATCTCAGGAGCCGGGGAAAGGCCTGAGTCTGAAATTTGAAATACAATTTCCAGTGCGTGCAAGGCACTCTGGCCGCCCCAGGTGAGCTGAGAATCCTAAGGGCAGCCCCTCATAAGACGGGGACGGTGGGGATGGTGGAGTGTGGTCTGATGCACCGACAGCTCGTCTCCTCCATCATGGATGGAGTGACTGCGTGATTCTGCACCAGACGCTGTGAGCACTTCTGGGGGAGACGAACAGAAGGACTGAACAGAGAGGCCTCAAGGGGACCCAGGGGTTCACAGCGCATCAGCCTCAACAGGGGCAGCGAGGCAAAGCCCAAGAGGGACGACCAGTGGGGTAGAGGGAGGGGACTCAGGGGAGGGAGGAGGGCCCGGAAAGGGGACTCACTGGGGCTGAATGAGAACAAAGTATATTCCATGCTTTTATAATTATGTCAAAATGAATCTTAATGTAACCAAAAAGGACCGGTGAAAATAAGTAATAATAATAACCGAATGAAGGCAAAGTGGAGACAGCAACGAATTCTGCCTCAGTGCTGGAGAAGATGGGGAGATTCCTTCATCCTACCAATGTATATGGAACTGTGACCACGTGCCAGGCAGCGGTCCCAAATGGGGGGTGGTCCCATTGGCTTAGGTTTGAACGAGCAAGGGGTCTCCTCCCTGCATGGGCAAGGGGGGAATTACATCCTGGCAGGACGAAGTAACCCCAGAGATCTGCTGGACACACCTGGCACATCTAGGAGTCAGGGACCCCGTGGATCGTGCGAGTCAGTGCATTAGGACATAGGGAGACCTGGAGAGCAGGAGAGCCAGGGGGGTGCCCTGGAGAGCAGGAGAGCCCGCCATGGAGGGTCGAAGCAGCTCACCCGAGCTTTGGACAGGCCTCATAGGCACCTGAGTCCCCTCCTATCACTAGAGGGAAGAGGACCAGACTCTGAAAACGGGAAATCACCGCGGTCCGTTCCACGGTAGGCTCTGAGCGCTCACTTTGTAACAGACACCGAGGCCACATCAGCACACGGAGTAGGTAGGAATACAGACTCGGGGAGCTCACCCCGGAAGTGGGGAGAAAATAAATACTGATGCTAAGAACAGAGTAGACAGAAGACGCGTGATCGGCAGGGGGCTAGAAAACAATGAGTGAGACCCGGAGAGGGAGGGTCGGTTCTGGTGAGCGTGGTCCGATTCTTTGAGACGGTTCCTGATCAGCACGCCTCAGATTTGCTTCTTAGGGATATCACCATGTGGCAGCGGAGGGAAGCTGAATTGGAACCTAAAGGAACAGGTGACAGAGGAAATAGTCAGAAGGCCACTGTCACCGTGTAAGCCAGGACCCAGGCAGAGCCGCACGGGAACTGCGTCTCACTCAAGTCCGTCACCCACATCTCGAGAGGTGTGGAAATCAGTATCACTATTCATCTCAAGAAAAAGGCACCCAGAGGACCAGAGGCTGCTTCCCAAGGATGTATTTAAGAAATGAATAAAAATTATTCTGAAATAGCCACATTAAAATAATTATGATCAATTAGGAGTGCCTTGAACAACCAGAGCGGCAAGGAACAGGAAAGCACCGCGAAGACGTGATTATAACTCTGGTGAAATGAATCCTTAATAAGTGTGTTATTAAATTCAAGATGTTTAGCCCTTCAGTGCAGTAGATTACTGAGCAGACCGGACTACATTAGGCTTAAGTGATTTATGTTTTAATCACCCGTATTACGTTCCCCACCGATTCATCTGGGGACAGGGCCTCGCTCTCTGTCGGAATGCTTTGCCATCAGAGGAGGAGACTGGAAGTCCCAGGAGTGACACAAGAGGCCAACCTGTGAATGCAGCTTGAAAAGCCAGGAGAACAAACCAGGCTCAGAATCAAGGTCATCTAGCGCAGGATCACGAGAGAGACTTTTTGCCATAGATCACATAAAGGCTGCTTTGCTGGGGCCCTCTATTCTCAGTCTCAAAGGGGAACGCCTCGTGCAGTGGACAGGGGAGAGGCTGCCTAGATAAAATGCCCACTTAGACATGGATCCGCTCCAGTGTCCGCGGCCAAGACAAGATGCTGGGTCCAAAGGCAGGCAGCTGGGCAGCTGAGCTGATGCAGACGGCTGAGGGGCAGCGGGAGCCTGAGCCCAACATCTCCTGGGGGCCCCCCAGCTCCAGTGTCCCAGAGAACACGCTTTAAGCGACGAGACAGTTGGGGCTCCCTTGCAGTCTGGCTGGGTTCTGCTCCATCTGCAGGGGAAAAGCAGTTAGAGGATGCTTTTTCTTTCTCCATAGAAATGCAGAGAAGGTACCATTGATGTGATCTCGATCACCATGACCCAAAGAACCTGTGCCTGCTGGTCCTGACTGTCCTCCCTCATGCACCCTGGCATGGCTCCCGGGGGATCCAGGGGCATTCGGTGATAAGAGGTGGCACCTCTGCCACTCTGTGGTGGCTGGGCTCTCAGGTCCAAGGATGGCACCAACTGTGGCTCTCTGCTGGCCCAGGAAGGCTGTCCCCCAGGGTCTCTGAGCCACTGGGAAGAAGGCAGGCTTGGTGGCCATGCGTCTCTCCTGGCTGGAGTCGGCCACATGGAAGAAGGAGAAGGGCAGTTGGGGCTCTGATAGTAGCTCGCCCCACGGGCCCAGTGCTCCTAGGACTTTGGGAGGACCCGAATGCGAATCTGACCTGGGTTTTTGGACAGGGACTATCTGAACAGGACAGCACTTCCTTGGGCACCCACGCTGAGGACGTTGACTGTTACAGTTGGATGAAGGTGTCCTCCATGCGGGGGGGGGGGGGGGGGCAATCCAAGAGCGTTCAGAGGTGAAATGCTTGGGTTACAAAGATTTAAAATGATTTCTCAGGAAAAACCCCGTGCTCCTAATTAAGATTTATCTATTTTCAAGAACTCCACCCTGCTGTGTGAACATCTGGCTCTTTGAATCCCTGTATTACTGTCTGGATTAATCCACTGATAGCGATGAACAAGGTGGTGACTGCAGGCAGGCGGATGTGGCTGAGGAAGCAGGGCACTGGGGGTTTATACTCTGTCCCTAGAGAGGGGGGCTCTCTGCTTCCTGGCTGTCCTGAGCGGCTTCCCTGCACCGCGCCCTTCACCATGAAGCTCTGCCTCACCTCCAGCCCAGGGCACTGCAGTCAGCTGACCATGCTCTGAACCTCTGAAACCGTGACCCCCAATAAACTTTTCTTTCTCTGTGTTGTTCTTGTCATGCTTTTTGATCCCAGTGGAGGAAAAGCTCACTAAACGATGATGACGACCTCAGGGTTCAGATCTGGAATGGACCTTAAAGGCACAAGATTAAGAGCCTCATGGCCAGCCTGCCGTGCTGCAGGGAGGTGGTGGAACCTTTAAGAGGTGGGGCCTCCTTGGAGGAAGTCAGGGCACTGGGGGCGTGTCCTTAAAGGGATACCGGAGCCCAGCTTCCTCTCCTGCTCTCTTCACTTCCTGTCTGCCAGGAGGTGAACAGGTTTCCTCCTCCTTGGGCTTCCACCTACTGGGCCACCCTAGGCCCAAAGAAATGGCAAAGAAACCGTGGACGGAAACCTCTGTAACGTGAGCCCAGGTCAGCGCTTCCTCCTGAGAAGTGGATTTGTTTCAAGTATTGGTCACAGTGACGGAAAGCTGACACCATGACAAGGATGTGGGAATGAGGAAGGTAATGGTACCATTTTTCAGTCCCTAGGTCTGTGCAGGCACCAACCTGAGCACTTAAAACACATCACACAGCCAGGCACGGTGGCGCAGGCCTGTAATCCCAGCAGCTTGGGAGGCTGAGGCAGGAGGATCTCGAGTTCAAAGCCAGCCTCAGCAAATGTGAGGCACTAAGCAACTCAGTGAGACTCTGTCTCTAAATAAAATACAAAATGGGGCTGGGGATGTGGCTCAGTGATTCAGTGCCCCTGAGTTCAATCCCCTAGTACCTACACCCCCCCCCCCCAAAAAAAAAAAAAAAACACATGATGGAATCCTCATGCTCCTTTTATGAGCTGGTGTACACAGCCCCATTTTATAGTTGGGGAAATGGAGGAGAAGCTAGTGAATAGGAAGAAGCAATTCCTCAGAAGAAAAGAAATGCATGCTTTTAATGAAGACCTGTCCCATTTCAAGGACACCTCCCTGCTGCGTGAGTGTCTGGCTCTTCAACTCTCTCTGTTACTGACCAAGTGACAGGAGGCTTCAGGGATGAGGGAGGAGATGACCTCCATTTTTGAAAAGATGACAAAAGAGATGACAATATAATCCGATTCCACTAACAGGTGCTGTCTTACCCTAAAATGCCAAATAGTTGTGCCCGCCTGTGTGTGGATGCCCTGGAAGATGCCCATCCTAGATTGCTAAGACATCAGGGACCAGGAGGACATTTTCTACTAAGCACCTGTGTCACAAGCTGCAAGCAGGAGCTCAGTGAGTGCCAAGTGTGACCCGAATAGGCTCAAATCTGCTTCACTCAAAACATGCTCTGGGGCTGGGGTTGTGGCTCAGTGGCAGAGCACTTGCCTCACATATGTTGGGTTCCATTCTCAGCACCGCATATGAATATAAGAAAAAATAAACATCTATCAACAACAATAAAAAGATCAAATTTTAAAAAATGTTCTACATTACAGAGTGAAGAAAATGCTGATTTTGAAAGCAAGCTGAGGTAGGGTCACATCTATCATCTTGTGGCTGCTGGTGGGTCCAAGTTTCCTGGAGCCTCCCAGCAGGTGACAAGGGCTTCCTGAGTTTCCTCAGGAGTCGGCCCTCCTCTCCTCCCAGTCTAGGGGGTTCAGGAAGAAATGATCTCAGTTCTGACACTAGAGGAGGGCACGTGCCCTGTGCTTGGCCAACCATGTCTTTGCATTCTCCACCCTTACAGCCTGGCCAGGCAACAGGACTCCATTCTAGATTTCTCTGGGAATACCGACAGGCACTCTGTTTCAGCTGAGACTGCAGATTAGACAGGCTCCGAGCCTAGTCCAAGTAGGGGCTGCCGACGTAAAAGCCTTCATTCAGCCCTAGATGATACTGAAAGAATCTCCAGGTCGTGACGACAATTCATAAGCTTTGAAGAAGCAGCAATCCTATTATGTCAACTGACTTCTGTTTTCTAACTGCTGCATTGGAAGGACGAGGATATCTCTATGAGGACATTTCTGGTTCCATGACCATCAGCCGTCAATAAACAAAAAGCACTGCTAATAGACCAGACGGGCAGGGGAAGAGGTCCTATTTAAATTTACAATTCCACGGGCTCTGTGTTGTATTTACTGAGACACTGGATGTCATTAGCAAAGTTCTTTCTGAGATACTCCATACAAAATTCCTGTTTCATCGCCCGGGAGTCTAGCCTTCAATCATACACGTAATGACTACAAAAGCTTATAAAGCATTCTCTTACTCATTTAATCTACAGAATATATTTGTACAGGGAAAGGAACTTGTTTATTTGAATTGTAAATGAACTTGTAAAGTCTTGTGTTAATCCAAAGCAACAATCTCTAAATGATGCAGACTCTTTATGGTCTGGAAACCTTAGACCCTAGGGTCTCATATCCTTGCAGTTAAATAAACAGTGCCTTTCAGATGCAAGTCAAACCTGAACAAACCCTGGTTCCTCCTGCAGGGGTCAGCACATTCCTTCTATTAAGCCACATGGTAAATTCTGTGGCTTGATGGACTCAGGCCCAATAGTTTGCCAACCCTTGTCCTACAGCATATTTCTGCCGACAATCTTCCTGCTACTGCAAAGGGACAGGCTTGCCTGAAAATTAAGCCAAGGAGAGGAAAGGAGAGACCCACTCATGTGAGACTGAAACCTCACTTCACCATTTGCTGCTCTGGATCCAGCTATACCTGAAACCATTTCCTCACCTAAGACAGTAAGTTTTGTTTCGTTTTAACCTAAGTTAGGTTGGGTTAGGTTTTCTCTTCTTGTAATCAAAAAATATACTGCATGAGCTTAGAAAAAGATCCAGAACTTCCACTCTGCGAGATGGGGATAATACTGATTTACAGGACCAACAGGCTAAGTTATGGTTTGGATCTTAATTGTCCCCCAACAGCCATAGGTCAAAGGCTGGGGCCCCAGCCCATGGGGCTATTGGGAGATGGAGGGACCTTTAAGAGGTGGAGCCTACTGGGAGGAAGTTAGGTCATTGGGGGGGGGCTGTCCTTGAAGGGAGGTGTTGGGAGCCTGGTCCCTTCCCCTCTCTCTCTCTCTCCCTCTTTGTTTTCTGACCACTGTGAGGTGGTCAGCTTTGCTTGACCACAGATTCCCTGCCATGGTGTCCTGCCTCACCCGGGCCCAGCAGCCACAGAGCAGGGTAACCATGGACTGGAGCCTCTAAAACCAGGAGCCAAGTAAATATTTTCTCCTTTAAGTTGATTTCTTGAGATATTTTCTCACAGCAACAGAACACTCACACAAGAGGTAGATGGTAAAAGGACTCTTTGGAGGCATGGAGCAAGGGCTCTATAAGAGTTATCTTAGGGCGGCTGGCTAAGGAGGAAGGTGCTAGTGTCAAAAATGAAGCCACACTTTGGTGGTGTCTGTCAGCCCCAAACCCCTCATATTATTGGGAATTCCCTTAAAACGCACATTGTTCACATAGTGCTTTATTTTTTTTTTCTCAATCTCATTAGATCTTCCAAACATCCCCATAACATCCCCCAAATTCCCTCTCCCATAATTATGATGGATGTGCTATTTTCTCAAAGGTCCCCATGACAATTTAGCCCTTTCAAGGCTCTGACAAGGTCTGCAATGCATCTTCTCAACTTTGTTTAGCCCTCTGCTTCCCAAATTTAATCACAAATGTGGTGGCTCGTGTTTCCTCAGTGGGACCTCATGAAGACCTCACAGACAGGGGCTCCAGGGGACACAGTGGGCCAGTTGCTGTGTTAGCATCTTTTCTTGTCCTATTCTACGGATGCAGGAAAGGAGACACAGAGCGGGTAAGTGCCCTGCCCCAGAATGTGCCAAGTTACCCCGGGAACTAAAGTGGGCCAGGATCCTGGGCCGCACATCACGTCTCATGGATGGCTCCAGAATGCTCTCGCCCGGGCTGAGCAGGCCTTCTGATTCAGTTCTTTGCAAACCGCCTTCCCCTCAGTTAATTCTGCCGCGGTTCAAACACTTCCTGGCATTTTTCCTCCCTTGAGCTCCTTCCACGGTTTCCTGGTAGCAGCCACACTCCACTGCCCACTGTGGCAGGGTGGCAGAGAAGCACATGACACCTGACATTCCATTGAAATATCATTTCTTGCGTCCACCGCCTCTTAAGCTCAGCTCTCATTTTCTTCCTCTGATGACATTACAGTGTCCTTAGGTAGCGCCCCTTAGCTCCCAGACCAATTTTTCAGTGTCATTTGTCATTTGGGAGGTGGCTGTGGGAAATCCAAATCGTACTTCTGGGAAGAGTGTTTTGCACGGGGGCTGATCCTTGCTGAAATCCCCTTGTTTTCTTTTCTCCTTCCCCACGTGTGGATATTGTCATCACCATCAATAGCCCGACTAGGCCTGCTCATCGGTCAGAGAGGAAGAGCCCCATTAGAATATTTGTTGAGATTTTCACAAGAAAATTCTCCATTTATCTTGTCTCAGAACACAGAAATTGGGTTCCACTCGTCCCTTCTTCAGAGGCAAATGTCCTATTCTTTTTGTCTTATTAATCTCTTTAGAGATCTTTACTATTCTGCAAGAAAGATGTTAAAATTTTATTAAAATTGTCTCCACGGGGAAATTCAGTGGTTAATTTTGCCCCCTAAGAAGTTCTGAATAGGGTCGGGGTGTAGCTCAGTGGTGGACGGAGCTCTGGCCTAGCATGTCTGAGGCCTGGGGTCCCCCTCACCCAGCGCTGGTGGAAAAAAAAAGTCTCAATTCCTCTTTAATTTAGTGCTTTTTTAAAAATTCTTTTGGTCTAATGACCTTAGGACCCAGAACTTGACGCTGAACATCAAGGTCTAAGTGCCCACAAATACTTAGCTGTGTGACCACAGGAACATAGATGATCCTCTCAGAACCACTTAACTGCAAAATGGGGATAATAATCCCACCAGAATGTATAATCCCTATATTAACATGCAAAAACGAGTGTGAGTAGCATTTAGTGGGTGCTCATTAAATATTGCCTGACTCAAAATTTGGGTTATTGATTACTTATGCCTGTTGCCCTGCCTGTATGCACCCTGGACCCCCTTCCCCAACCCCTCAGGGCCCCAGCCATCTCATCTGACCTGTGGGGGCTGCTCTGTCTCAGCTGAGGGTATAAGAAAGTGCAGTTAATGACTCTCCACTAGGACCCACTCTCCAGGGCATGGAAAAAGCTCACAGAGCTGCCTCAATCCCAAGTGGGACCCTTAAGTCGCTCAAGTGCAGTTGTTGGCTAGAACCTGGGCTCACCATCTACCAATGATTTGTTCCTGTTTTCCTTGCAACAGGTATTTTAATTTATAGAGCATCCTTGCAGTATTTCTGTAGGATACACAATGAGACTCGTCTTAACACTAGCTCTTTTTGAGCGAAGTATTTTCCCCTTTTCAGTTGTGTGTGTGTGTGTGTGTGTGTGTGTACGTGCACAGGTGCACACCCTGGAGGTTGACCAGACCTTACACATGCTGGGTAAGTGCCCTAGCTCAAGCTGTGCCCCCAGCCCTCCTTTTCAAAACCCTTAAGCCTTAAATAATAAGGTATCAAGTCAAGGAAAAGACAAACAGGAGTAAGCAGATGTCATGGCGGGCTCCTGCCCTCATGTCTGTCTCTTCAGGTACTTTTAGGAAATACAGGGGCCCCTTCTGCATTTGCAGGTTCTTCTTCATCTGCAGATTCAACCCATCTTGGACTGAAACTATTAAAAATATTGCACCTGTGCCGAACACTACTGGCCTTTTAAATTGTCACGATTCCCTATATAGCAGCTACTTACAGAGCATTCACCTTGCGTTAGGTAGAGATGAATTTCAGTAGAGAGGAAGATTCTGCAAATACCAGATCATATTATAGAAGGCACTTGAGCCTCTGTGGATTTTGGTATCCCTGGGTGTCCTAGAACCCAGCCACTTTTGTATCAAGTCCCCTGAGGGCATGAGGTTATGACACACCAACTCAGCAAACCTGCACTTATTGTAAACTCAAATTATGGAACAGAAGTGGTGAGAAAAGAGGATGTTTCTATTCTTTATTTATTTTTTCTTGGTACCAGGGATTAAACCCTGGGGTGCTTAACCACTGAGCAACATCCCCAGCCTTTTTCATATTTTATTTAGAGACAGGATCTCACTCAGTTGCTTAGCACCTTGCTGAATTGCTGAGGCTGGCTCTGAACTTGCAATCCTCCTGCTTCAGCCTTCAGATGTTCCTATTCTTTAAAAATCCTAAAAAGTACCAACCACACTAAAGCACACACTACTGGAAGAGGCATATGGAACTAATAACCAACACATAAAGCACACATGATAAAAGATGTCAGACACCAAAAGGCAAAAACATCTTTTGCTTCTGAATTCAAATTCAAAATTTAAGAAAGCATATCAATATTCACAGATACTTCCCGAATGCCCTAGATTGATTTCAGTAGGAAAAGAAACTTCTATTTTTACCCACGCCTGGGGACATCAGGGCACCCTCAGTAGCTCGGTATCTAAATGCCCGGCCATCTTTGCGTTCTGTGCCTTCATGATCCCTGTAACCAGCTTTGGAGTGACAGAACCATTCCCTTAAATGCATTCTCCACAGGAACCTAGGTCTGCGAGCCCTGCTGCGTTGCCAGGTGTGTTAATGACACGTGTTGCTGTCTCCACATCCTTTTCCCAGTTTATCTACCAGAAAACATTCTCTGGACGGTGCAGAGGTCAGCAGAGACGGCATATGGATGGGAGGTTTTCCTGCAGAGCTTACTAAGTATCTATCTCAGCCATTTCTGCAGTGGATTCTGAAGGCAGAGGAAGGTTTTCCCCCATTGAAATGCAAAGCTTGCAGAAAAATACTCTCTCACCAATTCACATTGCCTGCTTTTGACCCTACAAATTAGTGAAATGTATGAATTTTTTTCAAGGATCTCTCATTTGAAACGCGTTTAAGGGCCTTCAGTGCCAGAGGGGAATCAATGAGCATCTCACAGCAACCGTTTGAATACTGTTTTATCATTTACCAAGCATTTACCCGGTTCTTATATCACTGGATCCTTCCAAAAAAAACCCAACAAGAGAGGTGAGACGAATATCTGAAACCCTCTTTTACGAAAGAGCAAATTGACAGTGGCAGAGATGGCTGGTTCCCTGCCCAATCCATTCTTCCCTTCCTCTTGGGTGAATACAAATTGATTTTTGCCCTGCTAAAGGGCTGCTTCCCAGTCTCCTCTGTCTCTAGGTGTGGCCATATTATCAAGTTTTTGGTCAATAAGATGTGAGCTGTGAAGCATTGTGAATCACCCCCAGGAAGTCTACTTAAAAAGGAGAGATGTGCTATTTCTTGGCTTTCCCCTTCACTTCTGGGTTTGTGTAGCACAGATGTGATGCCTAGCATGTGGCAGCCTTTGTGGACGCAAGGGACATCATAGTTAGGATGGAGCAGGAACTGTGGCACCTCGGTCTTAAAGAATTGTGTGGACCACCATAGACAGCATCCTGGAACTGTTGCCTCTGTCTCCTTCTGTTATATGAGAGAGAAATAAACCCCTATCTTGCTTATACTATTTCTATTTTATGTGCTTTTTGCCTCTGAGCCTAATCCTGATGCAAAGCAGGGATTTGCCTGAGTTTATCCAAACCCTATGGTTGGCAAGCAGCAGACATCAAGTGCTGACATATATGTTCATATCTGACACTCTTTCTGGCAGAACTTCAGAACCTTTTTCAAAGCTGCTTCTCAGTCTCAAAAGGAGCCAAACAATTTCACGATTTTTAACACTTGAATATTCATTTAAAAGAAGCCCATCTACCAGAAGTTTCTCTTCTTCTCTCCCCTCTCTCCTCACTAGTATTTTTTTTTTCTCTCTCTCAGGCCTTGATTTAAATCATGAAATCTCCCAGGGCTCAGCTTTCGCCAGACAATTCCATTTGCTCCCCTGGCTTTGATCAGCATTGATAACCTGGACATTTTTCTAAAGGTGTCGCTTCAGCCGAGAAGACTCTCCTAACTGACCCAATGCTGGTGCGTAACGCGGGCCAAGCTAATTAACTTCTGGGTCTCAATTATCCATATGTGTAAAACAGGGGACGTAACAGCACCCACCTGGGGGGATCATTGTGAGAAACAGAATGATTTCACATAAATCCATGCTCTGGCACAGTCTCCCCGTCACAACTAGTATCACGCCTTGCTTCATCTCCCTCAGGTCACAGGCACCTCACCTCCACTTCACCTAAAGTGAATCATTTTTATCCTTAACCACTTTCCAGGAATGGCAAAGCCGTTATCTAACTGCTCAGAGAGAAGGAGCAGGATTGTCCTCAACTCCACCTCCTCCCTCCCTGCACCAGATCACCCAGATTTATCCCCAAGACGGGTCTAAAGGAGCCCCTGAGTTATTCCCACCCTCCTGATCCCCTCCTCTGGAGACCAGCTGTCTACACCCTCAGCTTCTGGGTTCTGCTCTGGTTATTTAAGGTCTTCCATGCAGCAGCCAGGGGCAGCTCTCACACACCTGATCGAGGTGCACCCTGCTCTTGGCCCAATCCCCCCAGGATCTTCCTCGCTCTTAGGGCGGGAGAAGCCTTCACGCCAACTCACAGGGACGTGACCAGCCCCATCACCGACCACACACAGGCTCCTGCTCCTCTGCTTTCTTTCCTTCAAATACCAGTGACAGACCACTTCTGCCTCGATGCCCTGACACTGCCGCTCCCTCTGCCTGGCTGATTAACGACTTGTGTCACCGCTGCTTGCCAGTTTCCTCTGTCACAGACATCCTTCTGAACAGGACCCTCTGAAGTCCAGTCCTTCCCAGAGGGGGACCCAGCGCAAGCTGCAGCCGGTGGCTCTCTGACTAGTGAACGGTGAGCGGGCCACCCAGATCTGGCAGGAGACCTCTCAGGGGTGCCTGCAGGGGTGGCTCCTAAGAAAGGCTTCCCGAGTTGAGAAACAACCCCATTTCTGCCCCTGCCCACTGTGGTGTTGGGAGGTGGGGACTGAAGGGTCGTAGGAGTCTTGCAGCATCGGGGGCCGGAGTCCTGGAGCAAGGTGGGGGGTGCAGAGAGCAGAGAATCATGGGAGGTGGGATCGGGGCGAGCCTGCTGCACAGGCAGATTTGCTGGGTGAGAATGTCCAATGTGCATAAGGACTTCCGCTACTGCAGTCCAAACCCGCCTAATTGACATGCCACTACAGCACGGCGCACTCTGGAGGGTAAGATGACCATTCGTGACACGTAGTGGACGCTCAGGGACACCGATTGAATGGAAAGCGACTGAGTATTTCTAAACAAAAGACAGGACAAGCTCTGGCTCCCCCCCCCCACACCCAAGCCTTCCCATCTCCTAGAATGTTCCCTGGTAGAGAACGCAATGCAGGTTCACCCAGTAGGTACCACGGCACAATAGAAGGCCGTGTCACCTCCGGACCGCAGGTAAGGAATGGCACCCGAGAACCGGCTCACACCCAAGGGGACATGAGCAGCTGCCACACTGCTTTTAAAAGCTCTCTTGGTTCTAAGCGTTATCTCCTGGACTGACCAAGTCGACGTGTTTGCTTGAACTTGATCACTGGCTTTTCACACAAGTTCACCCCCCATGACACAAGGAGATTGCTGATTGGGGTCATTGGGTCTATTATTGAAGGGTGACATCACAAACTAAACTATATATATTTTTCATTTGTATATAATAGCCCAGAAAGCAATGACCCAAGTGATCAAATCGTGGGGGATTCACTAAATTAAGGAACCAATGTGTGTCTATGTGGCCATTAAAAATGATGACGGAGCCCGGGCCCGGTGGTGCACACCTGTGATCCAGCAGCTTGGGAGGCTGAGGCAGGAGGATCTCAGGCTTACAGCCAGCCTCAGCAACTTAGTGAGACCCTTTCTCAAAATAAGAAAAAAAATTAAGAAGGGCTGGGGATGTGGCCCCATGGTTAAGTGCTCATGAGTTCAATTCCTGGCACACACACACAAAAATGATGGGTTATTCTATTAGTTCTATTAGCATCAAAAATTGCCACTGTTCATTGCTCGGTGAAAAAAAATAAATTGCCAAATGTTATGTATAGTATAATTCTGGCTTTCTATCTATGGCAGGCAGAGGATTTAGAAGAAACTCAGCTAAGAGTGGTTCTACTTGGCTGATAAAATTATAATGAACTTGAGCTTCTCTATGATGTTTTTCTGACATTTTTTTTTTCAGGGAGCAGGGGTGGATTTAATCCCATCTCTGCCATCTATCTGCCACGTGCTGAACCTCAGTAGCTACCTATGTACCAGAGTGAAGGCCAGAGACCCTCTGTCTCTGAAGTTGTAACGAGGAAGGGAGACAGGTAAATCCTATAGTGGTAGCAACCTGCAAAGGGTGGGTACTAACCAGTGTTAACTACTGGGATCGATATATGAGAAAAATAAATTGTCATTATTGCAATGCAGGTGAAGATCCCTTTTATTAAATGCTTTGGATGTTGGATTTATTTGGATTTTGAAATATCTGCATCTACATCATGAGATATCATGGGGTTGGGACCTGAGTCCAAACCCAAAATTCATTTATGTTTCATACACTCCTTAAACACCTAGCCTGAAGGTCATTTTATACAATAATTTTAATAATAATTTTGTGCACGAAACAGCGTTTCATGGTGTGGAAGTGTTTGCTTGTGGTATCACATCAGTGCTCAGAAAGGTTTGGGTTTGAGAGCATTTCAGATTTTGGATGAGGACAGCCCAGTCTGCCTGAATACTGCTTTGTGTTGAAGTCTAACAGATCTACAGATGGTATTTGGTGGAACTCATGGTTGAGTGCGCTGGCCATGAGGGAATTACTGATGACCCTGAATGTTCTCTCTCTCACACTCCAAGGCATGAGTCCTGTACTATAATCCCAGCTCCTGGCTGAACTACAGAGTCCAACAAGCGTCAGAATTATTGCAAACACATCATAGCATATGTGAGGCCCTGGGTTCCATCCCCAATACCACAAGACAAATAAATAAATTCACCATAAAATATATTTTTTAATATAAGATATTTTGCCCTGGCTTTCCACTAATATTTAATATTTACCTTGAATTTCTTGAATTTTAAAAGAGATCTATAGGAATCATTAACTAGAAATTAGAACAACACGTAAAAATGGCCTGCTAGGTTCAAAAGGGATCAATCCTAGAACTTCTTGGAATATCTGTATTTTGAAGGGAGTTACACTCCTGTCTTAAAAGTGGGCAGAGGGGAAGGGCAAACAGAGAGAAGATTCTGAAGGAAAGAATATAATAAAATGAATTCAAGTTTAATTGGACGCCACATTCATCTTTATCCTCTAGGACTTAATTTATGTGAAAATAGTGCTCTCATGAGAAACGAAGCCTAGCATTTATAGACTAATAAAAACCACAGGGCCCATTAGCTGGCCTAACAAGACACAGCTACAATTAATCTTTACCTTGGGAAAACAAAATAATTTGGGTTTTAATCTTAGAGCTAACTCGACCAGAAAGGCAAAAAGTGATTCAGACACATTCACAATCACTCTGTGCACGAAGCAGCCGCTGCGGACACTTTGAAGGCTTCAGAGGCATTTATTTAAGTGGAAATAGCCACGAGTGGCTCTGATGGAGGTGCACTAAGCAGAAAGAAATTCGCCTCCATGAAGTCAGTGTTTTCATGGGTTTCCAACAGTGTTTGATACTTGTTGAACTGTCCTTTAAGAACCATGGAAAGTGACTTCTTGATCTATTTCTTAGCTTTTCTTTTTTTTTTTTTTTTTGATACCAGGGATTGAACCCAAGGGCACTCAACCACTGAGCCACATCCACCACCCTGTTATTTTTTATTTTAACACAGGGTCTCATTAGGTTGCTTAACAGCCTTGCTAAGTTGCCATGGCTGGCCTCAAACCTGCAATCCTCTGGCCTCAGCCTCCAGGGCTGCTGGGATTACAGACATGGGCCACTACGCATGGCTTATTTAATAGCTTTTTGTTGCCCAGAAAAGGAAAAAAAAAAATCCTTTCCATACTACTCAAATTCAGATGTAATTATGCCCTTTGGTACTTATAAAAATTAGAGGCACTTACAAGATTCAGTTGATGTGAGGAAGATTCAACTCAGGAGGACAAGCCAGTGGGAGAACTCTCTATTTGCGAATGGAGAAACAAGGCTCAGAAAATTTAACTCTGACCAACAAGTCATCTCTAGACCCTCAGCCCCAGAACCAGAGAGCGGAATTTTTCTTTTTTAGTTATTTTTCTTTTTATTTTATTTAGCTCACCAAGAGATCAATACCTGAACTTCTAAGATAAGACATAAGAGGAAGTGTTTTGGTTGGAGAAAGAAAAAAATCTATATTAAGTACTGTAACAAAAGCTGGCTTCTCCAACAAACCACCTTTTATGAATTCAGTTCAATAAACATTTACTGAGAATCTGCTCTGTCCAGTCTTGTGGACTAAACAAAAATAAGTACCTGATGCTCAGAAGTACGCAAATACTGTGGGATACACACACGTGTGTGTACACACATACACACACTCACAATCAAGTATTGGCTTAGACAAGATAGGATGAAAACAATTTTCCGATTGTCTTAGAGATAAGCTCATGCATGGATTTTAGAACTATTTCTTGAGACCATTTTGCTCTATTAAGCTTGGCATCAAGTATGGACAATTTTATTAAAAACCATAACCCAGCCCTTTGTTTAAGGTCCTCTGTGAAACAGGAAGATTCCAAGTCGCTCTATCTTCAGAGGACCAGCCAGGTTCTCTTCCAGAACAATTGATTGATAGTGTAAAGGTCGACACAATTTCTATGCCAGTAGTCGTGTTTGCGTGAATTAAGTTTCAAGATTGGACAGACTGAGTCAATACCGGGGACAGCAATTCTCTTTCTGGTTCTGAGGCTGGCTGACTAGAATAAATAGCTAGAAACAAAACGGCATTATATAGTTGTCTTAAAATCCCTTTTTTCTTTATCTAATTGCCAATAACTACTGCATATGGCTATTTGTCAAAGAAATCAATGATATAATGGTACATTTTAACAGAGTGCTCATACAAGACAACCTGTCCATAAAACTGGCACTAATACTTTTATGTGCAGTACTCTCATGATAATAGCAGCTAGACTGTGTCAAGGATTTGCAGTTATTGCACAATGAAAATGAAAAGTAACCAGTTATGTCTCCAATTTAGTCAGGGCTGGAGAGAGGTACAGAGGGAAGAAGATCCTCATTTTAGTTTTCCAAATCAGGACCCTGCCAAAAAGCAACAGTGGGATTTTATTGATAGTAAAAATGTGATGTTTGAGAGTTTGAAGGTAATTCTGTGGAACATCCAGTTTTTTGGAGTCTGGCTGGGGGGGAGACATTGAGTAATGGAACCACAGGCCCTTGCTAGGGTGAGTTACGTATCAATTCTGTGCTTATTTTACTGTACACAGTTTAAACTATGGCTAATGTATTTGATAATAAGCTGCTGTTCTCTGATGATTTTTTTCTTTATATATGTAGTTGCAAGTTCAAATCCACACCTTAGAACGAAAGTGCAAGAGGAAGAAAACAGAAATCAGGTCCCTTTTAATGAAATTCAGGAATACAAGTTAAACAATTTGTTTTGAAGTTTCCCAAAATTGAGACTTCTACTGGAATTTTGACCATAACTCCAAAATAGTAACAAAAACCAATTAACAACAACAAAAATGTGATACATCGTCCATACTCTCAAACAATGAACCTTTCTCGACAAGGTTAATCAGTATCATATAAATGCAAAGGAACAAGAAGTATTCTGCGCATACCAATAAGGACCTAGTAAAACACTATTGTAAACACAGTAACAATGGCATGTATTCTACTGCAGATCCAAGATCTCACAGGACCCAGAGCTGAAAAACAACAGAGATGCTTTGTCACTCATTTACACAGGTCTTCTTCTACGCAACCAGATGGGGGAGAGGAAGGAAAGCCAATTATTACATATATATTGATTCACGAGAGAAAAACAGGTGGAGCTTAAAATAACCATGTTTTAGGAAAACCAATATTTAAAATACTGCAGGCCACAATCATTTTTCAAGGCCTGAGTTTGGTGTAAGAATATATTTCTTTAATAAATGGTAAAGTCAAAAAAAAAAAAAAAAGAAACCTACTAAGGGATAGTTTGGCAAAATGATTCCCAGGCTCTGTATGATCAAAAGAAATCTCCAAAGGTAGCTAACTATTCTACAGAATTAGCTGAAACATTATATTCCTGAATTGTTCTTCTGCATACTGAAAATTTGGTCTTTCATTAGGCTAGTGAGTGCCTTAAGACGTAGGGTAGTGATATGGAAAACCATGTTCCACCTCAAATATTGTCAAGACGTGATTTAAATGCCCTCGCCTTTCTCCATAGTCCCTGTCACTGGTCATCTTGTTCTAAAGGGCCACATGTCCTTTTCCATTTTGTAGAAGGCCGAGTCAGAAGGGCGGACTTTGATTTCATTTTTCTTACTACTAGCCTATTCCTTGGGCAAAGATAAGATGAAAAAAAGCAATGGTATCAGGGTGAGTGGAGCACACCTAAAATCCCTGGGGGGAAGGGTGGGGGGCTGAGGCAGGAGGATCTCAGGCAAGTTTGAGGCCAGTCTGAGCAGCACAGTGAGACCCTCATCTCAAAAATAATAACAAAGAAAGAAAGAAAAAATGAGGGAAAAGAAAGTGGTAATTTTTAATGCTTTTTAAAAAAGATCTGTATAATATCAACATTATTTTATAAATAATATGTACCCTAAAGTTAATAAGCCAGATTCAGGTGACAAAGCCAGTGTGACAGAATTTACCTGGACAGACGTTCTGGCAGTCAGGGAGAATAGCAAAAGCCCTCCCTTCCCAGCTACACACAGCGGGAACTCACTGTAAAACAGGTGACAGCGAAAACCCCCCCCAAATGCACTGGTCCTTTTTAACCTTAGTACTGATCTGGGAAGAAAACAGACCCAAAACTAACACTGTCCTGTTGAAAGTTTTAAATGGAATCATTTTCAATTAAACTAGTAGTAGATTTACATCACTCAGTAATGGATATAATTACGCCCAATATCATTAACCAGTTACGAAGTTCATTAACTATTCGCCTAACTGATGTGATTCTGCAATCTGTATATGGGGTAAAAATGGGAGCTCATAACCCACTTGAATCAAATTGTGAAATATGATATATCAAGAACTATGTAATGTTTTGAACAGCCAACAATAAAAAATTAAAAAAAAAAAATGAACAGTGTAAAATAAACGTATTCAAACTTTGAGGCCTAAACTCTGTTTAGGGACGGTGACTATATTTTTTAATGAAAATCTTGGATTTAGGTATACCTTTTAGGTCAGTGGGCAGAATATGTGAGATTAAGAGTATTCTGAAAAATCTGATGCATATAACAGCAGGAATAAGTCACCAGGTGTGTATGTAGGAACATATGTCTGTTGGCTCCATTCGATCCTCCATTGACACCAGTGGTCTTCCACTAGGGACAATTTTGTCTCCCAAAGGACATTTGGCAGTATCTGGAGATACCATACTGTGGAGTAGGGTGTGGCTGCTGGCATCCAACGGGGACAGGCCAGGATGCTGCTAATGTCCTATAATGCCCAGGACAGTCTCCCACAGTGCTGAATTCCCTGTCTCCAAATGCCCTTAGCAGACCTGTAGTCCCAGCAGCTCAGGAGGCTGAGGCAGGAGGATTGTGAGTTCAAAGCCAGCCTCAGTCAAAGTGAGGTGCTAAGCAACTCAGTGAGACCCTGTCTCTAAATAAAATACAAAATAGGGCTGGGGGTGCAGCTGGGTGGTCCAGTGCCCCTGAGTTCAATCCCTGGTACCCAAAATAAATAAATTTAAATTCCTTTAGTGGGGAAGTAGAGACAGCCTGATCTCTGCCTTGGAACACAGTAACAGAAAGAGGCTGGACCTAGCGGAGTGGTCCTGCTTCCACCTCTCCTGTAGGCTCCAAGTGAGCCTCGGTAGGGCCCTGGGGTCTGCAGGGTGCACTCCCAGCGTGCAGAGCAGAGGCTGTTCTTGGCCACCAACAGCGATTCTGCGCGCAGGTTCTACCTTGGTCCGGCTCTGACACAGCAGATGCTTCTGGAGAGCAAACACCTGGTCTGGTTGCAACCTTGCCTGTTTATGAGCAGCGAAGCCACTTCAGGGGGTCCCTAATGCACACAGCCGAGCAATTAATGGATTCCACACGTAAAACCACAAAGCTCTTTCTGCACACTTAATGCTCAAATCTGCCCCATCAGAATTCCGATTTAACTAAAATTCCACGAGGTTTCTGAGTAATTAGATCTTTTTCTTTTTTTCCACTTTTCATTTTAGAAACGTCTTTTCCAACTTCTTCTTCCCTCCTCCTGTTAGCTCTATGAGCACAGCGCTCCCAGTGCTGTGCCCCGGGCGCTGCCCGCATCTCTGCACAGGAGTTTCATACTCGACAATCCCATCTAGGAGGCACTACAGCGCTTTCCTTAGAACCCAACAAACACAAGACACAGGAAAAGAGGTGCAGCTCGCTGTAGCACCTGCAGCAAGGAATTCAACGTGGATTCACTTAATACATGAAAAGGGGGAAGGAAAAAGACTATGGGGATATGACATTTAAAATAACAGCAGCCACTAATTATTGAGCACTTACTATGTGCATAGGCCAGAGCCACATGCTTTATATAATAGTCTTATTTAATCCCACCACCAACCCTCTAGATGCTGCTAGACTCCCCCCACACTTTACAGATGCCCAAACGGAAGCTTCATCTGATGGAAGGTCACCCAGAAAGCAAGCAGAAGAGCTGCGTCTGTGGCCGGCTCTGGCACACCTGAGAGCACACTAGGGCTGGACAAACGCTCACCCTCATTTCCAATCTGGTCCACTGCCTTGCTTTGTAAATAAAGTTTTATTAGAACACAGCCGTGCTCATTCCTCTCTGTTTTGCATTTGCGAGGTAACAGCCGAGCTCAGCCAGAGGCCATGGTGAGAACCTAGAGCGGCTGCTATCCAGCCCTTTACAGACAAGGCTTGCCACCTCTGTCTGAGCCCCTCAGCAGTCAGTCATGTCAACTTCAAAAGGCACCTAGCTAAGTAGCTGCATTTCCATGCATATGAGCCCCCTGCCCCTATTTTCTTGTAGTCATCTTGAGGGTTAATAATACCTTTTCTCTTTTCAAATTTTAAATTGAATTTAACTGATATATAGACTCGACGTTTTACATATCAATGGGTGTGAGTGGTGTTCTGCACGTGCACACCATACAATGTTTAAGTCAGATTGAACATCTACCCCTCCAACATGTACCAGCTCCTCCTAGTGAAAACAATCAACCTCCTCTCGCTCTTTGAAATACACAGTGCGGCTGCCTAGTCTCCCTTGGACTTGTCAGAGCTCCGTTCCTACCTAACCCTTGGTCAGCCTTGGCCTCCACCCCCTGCTCTCTGGGCCTCTGGTGACCACTGCTTTTCTTTCTGGAAAGAGTCTATGTGAAGGATAGCAGTGTTGTACAGTGAAGCTTATTAAATCTGATTTCCTCACAGCCAGAAATCAGCAAGACCCAGAAAGAAACACACAAATAAAACAATCACTGATTTTCCACAGGTAAATATTAAGCACCGGAAACACAAAAACGGATAACATAGTCTCACCCTCAATGAGTGCACAGATGAGCAGAGTAAACCGAGCCCCACACACAGCAGAGCAGCTTCCTCTGAGCTCTGCTCAGGGTCCTGCAGACCTCAGAGGACTGTCTTTTCCCAAGCCAGCCGATGCCCCTAAGAGGAAGACATCTGAAAACCCACCTCTCTTTCAAGGAAAAAAGTCTCCATTATACTAAAATAAGTAACTGAATTGTGTCTGACTTATTCAAAGAGGAGAATTCATTATTCACAGAACAGAATGGAGAAGCTAAAATGAATTTACAAGCTCAGCCTCTTCAATTCATAGATAAGAGAAGCAAGACATGTCCAAGGTCACCAGCAACCTCAGGAGAGAAAGCTGCCGACAGTGCTCCCCTCGCCTCAGTGCAGGCTGCTCTGCGGAGGCTGGATTAGAAGGTGCTCAGTAGGCTGAAGAGCAGGCTACGAAGGACTTGGCTCTGGAGCAAGATCCAGGGCAATACTGAACCTCTCTGACCCTCGGTCTCCTCTTCTGCAAAATGGGATGATATCCACAGGTCATTATGAGTAAGAGGAATTCCTTTACCAACATGGCAGAGGGCATCAGCTGGCTCAGGAGAAGTATAACATGAGTGTTTGCTATTAAGGAAATAAGAAAGTGAGCCTTGGGGAACTGGGGGTATAGCTGAGCAGTAGAGTGCTGGCTTCACTAGGCCCTGAGTTCCAACACCAGCAACACACACACACACACTCACACACACACACATACACACTCACACACACATAAAGTGAGTTTGGGAATGAACTACAGCTCAAAGAGGCCTCTCTGTCCCCTCTGGGCCCTTTCCGTCACCATTCCCCCAGGCTTTGTCCACCTTTCCCCACTGTGAGCAGACAACCCTGCACCCCCTCTTCCTGTCTGATCCTGCCGTGACTGCCCCTGGCCAAGCCCAAGGGACCCTCTGCTCTGCAGTGCTGAAGCTTGCTCAGGCCACACCACCCAACACACCCCCACCCGCTCCCTGTCCCTCTCAGGGCAGAGGCAGTGACCCACCACGCCCTCTCACCCTGGCACTCCCGCTGAAGAGTCTGCCCTTACTTTACACAGCGCATCCCCGATGCCCAGGGGCCTCCGCCCATAGCCCATAACAAGGCCCTGCCCTGCCCTGGTGTCATCTGAATATAGTCTCGTCCCAAAAGACCCGGTTTCCAGTCCTAACCTCAGCACTATCCTGGGGATCCTCGGGCAGATGTTCAGTGCCTGCAGGCTCAGTTTCCTTTTGTGCCACATGGAGATCCACAGAACCAACCCTGGAAGGTGAAACGGGAAATTCCCAGAACTGGCCCAGCGCTTAGCAGCAGAACGGGAACAGAAGCTGGCTTGTTGTCATCATCCCGGACGCTTCCTCCTCCTCTGGCCTCTGCCTGAGCTCACATTATCCCTACTTAGGGTTCGTTCTGTCCTGACCACTGGTGCACACTGCCCCTTCCCCGGGTCCCCCCAGCTGTCACTCCCCCACTGTCTCCTGTTGGGTGAACTCACTCATGCTCGGCACTACCCTCAGGAGCCCTCATCAGTGTTATCACTCTGGGGCAGCCTCATCTTCCAGGGGACATCGGGCTACACCTGCAGACACTCTGGATGTCACTGATGGGAGGTGGGCAACAGCACCCAGTGAGCAGAGGCTAGAGATGCCCCATGATGCCCAGGGGGCCCCCACAGAGCAAGGAACCGTCATCTGCAGTCCTGCCCCAAACCCTTCCCTGTCCTGAGTTCACAGGAAGCCCTGACCCTGCCACCTAGATCCACCCCAGTGCCCGACTATGGCGGAGGGAAGGGCCTGATTCCCCAACCAAGTGAAACAAACACCATCAAGAAGATGTTTTAATTGGCATTAAATAACTCTGTTAACAAACAAAAAAAATCATTGGATAAATATGCTCAGCTTCATCGGGAACGTTTCTTCTCAATTACTAGTTATAGTTCAGGCGAATCGCATTTCCAAGGAAAGAAAAATTCATGAAGGACTCTATTGTTCTGTGTTTCTATAATGGCTCACAAGTGGGATCAGGTTCAATCTACAGGATTAAACTTTCTACAGGAGGGATCTGATGTGGCACATGAACGTGCAGCCCTAGAGTCCCAGGTACTCGAGGGGGCTGAGGCAGGAGGGTCACTTGAGCCCAGGAGTTCCATAGCAAGGGGAATTATATGATAAAATAAGTTTGGGTAAAGAAGCAACAGATGCCTGTAAACCCAGAGCTCGGGAGGCTGAGGCAAGAAGATCTCGAATTCAAAGCCCACATCAGCAACTTAGCAAGACCCTGAGCAGCTTAGCAAGACCCTGTCTCAAAATACAACACGGGCTGGGGCTATGGTTCCATGGTTAAATGGCCCTGGGTTCAATCCCAAGTTCAACAACAACAGAAAGAATATACACCCTTCTTTTGGAGATTTACAAAGCACAACAGCATCTCTGAGATTAAAACAATATGCTTGAGTCTGGTGAGCTGAGTTTTCCACACCAGTCTGACCTTGAAAACTTCATGGAATCCATTTCTATCCCACGGATTAAGCATTATGGGGAATACAAAAATTGA